CATGATCAGCCAGATTTTCTGAAGTGATAAAACTTAGTATTAAAATTTACGAAGAAAAAAAGAGATCAACATGTAAACTATAAGCCAGAGTTTACAGCTATATCGACACTCAATAATTCCAGTCCACCAACATTTCACTTTTTTTTTTTCAAAGTGTATCAATATCTCCGGATAGGGGCTCTCTCAGTACACATTGTGGTCTCTCTGCTTTTCCAGCCTTGTTAGCCAGAAGTGACTATGGCATGGTATCCCCTGGACCTCAGTTGAGGTGATACTTCCACAGATTTAACACCTGCAAGAGTGATTTGATTACCTTCTAGTGACTCCAGTTTCTAGAGGAAATGATTTTGTTATGCACAGATTGCAACAGTATTAATGGTTCATTCATTTACTGTAATGGTAATGTCTGAATACAGTTTTCTTTAAAATTCCCATGCCTCCAGAACAACATCTCTGTCAGGATGGTCCCAGGTGCAAGTAGAATGTGTTTGCAACTTGCATGTATTGTTACATGCTCTAATTCTTCACATGAAGAGAGAGGTTGCCTGTGTTAGATCCTGTTTTCTATTTGGCACTGCTGATAATGCTGTGAATCAAATTAGCTTAAATTAGCCTAGTTTGCCTATACAGTTCATACTCGTCCCACTTGGCACATTTTGCTTTCACTCAATCAACATAATTAAAAACCTTCAGCTGATCCCCACTATACTGTGAGAATTGTTGAAACCTTATTGCACATTTTATAGCTCTAGTGAATGCAGTAAGTAGAAGTCTAGACCCACTAAAACCAGTGGAAACATTGCCACAAGGTCAATACGACCAGATTACATTCAATGAAACAGTTCTTTCCTTTATTTTGTGCATCCTCAGATCGCTATCTCTGCACAGTTATTTTGGGAAGATGAACAAGTTGCTCCACAGCAAGAGCAGAATTCTGAAAGTGCTCCCTAGATCCATCATGTTGCTGGGCTTAATTCTAGGTCCGGCTCCTGATCGTGTGCAAGGTTCAAGATATGTGCAAGGTTCCATCCAGGTTTCAATCAGGTGCTTGCCTTTTCAAGAAAATCTGGACAGCACTGAGAGAGGAGTCTGTTCTGGTGTCCATTTACTACAGCCAACATGAATACCAGCAAGTTTGAACTGATTAACTGATGGAAAATGCTCCATCCCCACCACAGTACAGCAAAGGTGCTACAGAAGCAGCCACCATGTACTCTCTGGCTAAGAAGGCAACAAGCCATTTTTCAGCAAGGATATTTCAATAAAATTCTGCGATTATTTCCATAATTTGCATAATTTCACTACTATCATCCAAAAATAATTCACAAGGAATTTGAGGTCAGCTTCAATAAAATAGAAAGAAGAAACTGTGATTGCAATTACATTGAGATATGTTGTTTGAATCAGCAAGATATGACATGACAACTCACCCTCAAAAAAATGAAATAGAATTGCTCAGGAAGAGACACAGATACATTGAATAAAAAACCCCCTGAACCAACAGAGGCAAAACTACAAGATTTCCCCACACACACACTCTTTTTAGTGATGTAAGAAGGGAATTTTTGCTTTTTTACAGGTTCACTATGAGTTTCAGATTCTAGCATCTTCTTTTTTCCTCCCAATAATATACTCTATATAGGAATAATTATTCTATATAAGAAATAATGGTGTGCTCAGTGCAATAGCAGTAGAGTAATAGCTTCTTCAATAGGCCAGGAGAAGAAGATTTCTAGAAGAGCAGAAAAAGTTTGACAGGGAAATAGTAAGAAAATTAAAACTTTTTATTTCATATTATCAGGAGCTAACAGGTAAAAATACAAAATCACACAGATAGGAAGCATTATAAAAGGCAATTACCTCTGCTGGTAATAAAACAGCTGTTGTCCAGCTATCTCCCTTGTGTGAAAGTGTGGGCTAGCCAGACCACATCAATGACTCTCAGCAGGGTTAAAGGAGCTGTGCAGATTCATTAACTCAGCGGAAGAAAAATCTGAACACTGAAAAAGAGATATATTAAGTGAAATATTCTTCTTTCTTTCTGTTGGGGGAGGGGGTGTCTTTTGAGCTGTTAGGAGTAATCCCTGTACTTAAGTCAGAAGAAATGTAAGAGTTCAAGTGAATTAAATTAATGTTATGTCTTCTTTAAAACAACAGAAAACAGGGTACTTGTTTATAAATGTAGACTGTAGTGTCTAATGGAATACACATACACATATCTTAATGTGTTTCTGGTAATGAGAAATCCAGACACTGGATAATTATGTCAAATCAGAATCTACCACAGACTCATTTTATCCTATTAGAAATCTTGATTTACAAACAATTCAAACATGTAATTTTAGTATTCATTCAGTGCTTCATTTCAGAAAGGCTCATTTGTTATTTTGGAGCAATTGTCCTACCTCCTATTTCTTCTTTAGCCCCAGGAACTTTAGAAATATGTAATGGCAAACTCAGGAAATCCAGTGCACACCTGACCAAAAACAATTTTACCCACTTTTACCCAAGCTGCAATCTGTTAGATAGGATGCAGTAATAAAAAATAAAAAACCAAACCAAACCAAACCAAAACCCCACAAAAACAAACAAAAAGAGAGAGAGAAGAAATTAAACATTTCACTGGTAGAATTGCAATGTTGTCTTGAATAATTAAAACAAAATGTCTTACAAGGCAAAGGTTTCCTACAACTGGCACAGACTTATTTGAATAATGCCCTGGAATAAAAAGGTTAAATGCACATCAGTGATATGTAATGAATATCATATAATACTGATCATGCTGCTTTTCCTGTCTCTCTCTAAAAGATTATGACATGTTGAAGTTATCAAAATGGATGTGTTTACATAAAACTGACAGTGATACATAGTAGAGATTAAAGCTCTCTGAAGATCATACAAAAATAGAAGAGAAGGTATACTTCACAGGTCCCAGTAGATTTTTTTTTGTGTGTGTGTGGGTTTTTTTTATTAAAAAAACAACAAAAAACAAAAAACAAACACACACACACACAAAAACCAAAACAAGACCATTGTAAACAAAATTTCTCCATGCAATGAAATTAAGTATGGCAAAGTGTTTCTCCAATAATAGTGCAAGTAAAATTAAATTAAATGAACATTGTTAACTCTATCAATTCTTAAAGAAGAAGCAGTTAGAAGTCAAGATCTAAAATGCATCTTTTAATTGTTTATTAAACTTTAACATTTACATACTCGATATGAAAATATCAAATGTGAGAGACATATATTTAATTAATCATGTAGGTTTAAACTTACAGTTGTAACTTACCCCCAGTGACTAACCAGGAATATAACTCAGATGAAGTGTTTTTTGCAGCCATGTCTAGCACCTTTTAAACATATGTTTTCAGTGACTTAGAATTCATTTAATTACATAGTGTAGTGTGTTTCCTTGCTCCAAGATAGATTTAAAGCTAACTCAGAAAAAAGAGTAAGTGACGCTTTTCCTCCCATGCTAATGGTCACCTGCAGCTGGGGAGTAACAGCTTTCTGGTAACTGCAAAAAGCAACTTCCTCACCTCTCTCTCTCTCTCTCTCTCTCTCTCTCTCTCCCTGAATAGAACCCGTACATCCTTAAACGTGGTATGAGGGGTTTTTGTGTCTAAAAGGTAATAATGCTTGCTAATCTTTCTGAGATATTTTTGAGGGTAATGGAAGAAAAATCACATCCAAGATCAAAGCTTTGGGATTTAATAAAGTTTGTGTCAAATAAAGAACAAGCAATTGTACAGAAATATTATTCAGGCAGCCCATCAGTCAGTTTTACAGCTATCTTAAGTAAGGATGAATGGCATATTGGCAGTACTGAGATATTTTAGTATCCTTTTCCTCCACCAGGCATCCAAACACTGTGTGTCCAACTTCTCCCAGCTAGCAGGAAGGGCAAGAGCAGTATCTCATAGGGCCTGAAGTCACCTCCTTCTATGCTGCACTGACTTGCACCCACATCCTGCAGCAGCGTCTTTCTCTCTCTGCCTCCGATGGCACTGTATTTAATAGTGTGGCTGCGACCCTCTCTGTCATCACATTTCAAATATTTATATTTCTAACATGACCATGTGAAACTTCAGTTAAATATTTTCTACAATTTTGTTATCTGATTCCTTTCAATTTTCAAAGAACAAATAAAACTGGTTATTGCTAGAAGTTGTAGTTAAGATGAAGGCTACTTCAGTTTTATTGTCAGAATTTTGGGGTGGAAGGAGATTGGGACACACACACACATGCACAAGAGAAATGCATATACAGAGAACAGATGGGGGAAATCTTATGCTTCATTGAGGCTGGTGCTCCCTTCACTACTTAAAGAATGTTCCTCCTGAGAACCACAGCTAAAGTCTGTTTCAGGTTTTGTCCTCAAACTGTAACAGAATTTTAGGTATAGTTTTGACCTAAAAGTTGTGAGTTGAATTGCCATAATTTTTATAATACAGGAAATGAAAACTTTCAAGGTAATGCTAATGGAGGTTTTCATATTAAAAATGAAAAAAAAAAGTATTCTTGTGTTGATTTTACAATTTTTGATGCATGCTATACAGCTTTACTTTCACACTTCTGGAAATAACAAAAGTTTGTGCAATTTTAAGAGCCAAATTATTGCACAAAATCCCAATTCAACTTTTCTTGTTTTCCAGAAAAATAATCCCGCTAATTTAAAGTATAATTTTGGTTGGGAAAAGCAGCTCAGAATTTGTCATAAACGTTATATACTTGTTCAAACCAATATTATAAACCTTTAAAATTCATTTTTCATAATACCTTCACTGTCAATGTCTTTTCTAGACTTTCAGGCAAAATTTCAGAGGTGAAACAATAACACAGCAATACATACAATGTTGATGGACATTCAGAAATGCCTGTGCATTAACACTTAATGTATGTTCTCATAGTAAAAAATTCAGGTATCAAGAATATTGAAACTGACCAGCAGTGGAGTTTTAATACTACAGAGGAAACAATGTGTTGGAACACGATGATATTGTCTCATATTTGGTATATTTTAAGGTTGAAGCTTTCTCATGTGTAAAAGTAATCAATCCCACATGCACTATAAATGTCAATTACTATATATGAAACTTAATGTAAATTTTCCCTCTTGAAACAGGAAAACAATATTGTGTAAACCTGGAGAAAGGCCACCATACAGTACTAAAATATTTTCAACAGTTAAGCAGGAAAAAGCTATCAACAAAAGCAAGAATAATGATCATTTAAGCTGTTACAAAAAAGATTAACAACAGTCCTTCCTTGCCATATGAATGTAGTTAAAAGTTATTTTTACTGTACATATTGACATTCATCACCTTACAATTTCCCATGTATATGAATAATTATAATCAGGCAAGAGAGTATTTAAAAAATTTATGCATATACCTAAGATTTTGCAGCACATTATTTTTTTCCCCTGATGTTGTACAGCAACATTTTCAAAAAATAATAGAGCTTTAACTATGAATTGTTGCTACTGTATCTTTTGACCTTGTTTAAAAGATTTCTTGTTTGTATTATGAATATTTAGGCTAATGCTACTAATTTTTAAGTATATTTTTCAGTGATTTCTATTTCCATTTCTTTAGTAATTGTAATAAAAAACTATTTCCAGTATGATACTTAATGAGTTAAGATTTATTCAAGTGTTCCTTAGAGCATTTCCAAAATATACATTCTTTATTTATATTCACAATAAAGACAAAATATAATAGAGAGCCTCATTCCAGAGTATTTTGATGCCCAGATTGTTCACCAAGGTTGGAGAGATCCAAGAGGCTTGACTGTAGGTACACCTTGTCCCATCAGGTGAGACTTTGAACCAGGTTTTCTCATTGTCTAATAATTGAGCTCTCTCTCTCGGGTTAAAGTGGCCCTTGACAGGAGATAGTACAGGCAGTGCAAGAAGATCTAAGAGGCAAGTGGAGGTAAGTGCACTCTACTGTGGCGAGGCTTAAGCTCATGTCTTATCCAGGTCAGGACTGTGAATCTAATTATATCACTTTCTAAATGAGTGTCCCCTTCTTTGAGCTGTGAGTTACCAGGAGGTTCCCTACACCTTGCTCTGTCTGGTCATCATGATCAGCAGTTTCAGCTTAGACTTGAGAAACCTTTAAGAACAAAACTGTTACTGAAAAACCTTGTTCTTAAAAAAAACAATCCAACCCAACCCCACCTCAAAAAACATCCAAAACATCAGTTCCAATCAATATACTTCATAAAAAAACCCCAAAAAATCTCACTCCAATTAGAAGGACAAAAAAGTAGATACATTATTCACTCACATTGATTGATTGAGGTAACGAGTAAGATTGGTATCCACCTATAGTTTTAAATAGGAACTAGATAGTCCAGTTTTCTGGAACATGGTATCAAGCTCACATTATTTATGCACTTTGCTCTCAGAGTTGACTGCCCAGAGAGGCAGTAGCCAAATCAAACCCCAACATTTGTAATGCCTCATGTGAGGAATTGACCATAATGATTTTAAGATAACTGAGAGAGAAGTCTGCAAACAAAAATAGATTGACCATGTGTACTGTAGTTGTGGTAAAAAAACACTAATAGAGTTAAGTATTATAATGATGTTGTTTTAATTTTTAATAGAGTAATTTTTAGTTATAGTTTGTTTATTTATAGTTGTACATTTATTGTAGAATTTAAGATTTCTTAAAATGTAATTCTCAAAGGCGAAGGGGGGAATTGTCGTGGTTTTGCCCAACAGCCCATCCCTGGGGCTGAGGATGGTTTTGTCCAGGTGATTTCCGGACAAAAAAACCAATCAAAAAGTTCAGTGACGCCTTTGCTAATTACATCTTTAAGAAAACGGAAGAGAAGGTTGGTGTGCGCAGTTGAAATTAGGAGCAGCAGCCATGTAGAAGGGTAGCGGGCCCGAGGAGGGCCAAGGCCCCCTCCTCCCCAGCTTGGGCCAGGGGGGGCAGGTGTAGTACTGAAGCCTCCCTTCTCTTCTGTAAAAGAGTGAAGAAAATAAAAAGGTTTAAAAAATGAACTGCTTGGACAGAAACCGCTGCAGAGAAATTCCAGCGAAGAGATAAAGGATTTTCAAGGTCAAAGCTGGCAGTCGCAGGAGAGAGAGGAAAGGTTCGAAGGGGGGAGAGCTGCTTTTTCTCCCTTTCGCTCTCCCTCCCTTCAGCAGAGTAAAGACTGAAAAATAAAATCCCTGCCACTTGTAAAAGTTTGTTAGAGTGAAGAGACTCCCCATGCGGCTCACAGAGGAGCTTGTGGATGCACCAGAGATTTGTGACTTTGACAGAAAAAGCCTTATGATGGAGCAGAAGCGGCTCAGGTGAGGCAGAGTCCTGTTAAAGACTTTGTGACCCTTGAAGGGGATGATGCTTATGCCGGAGCAAGGACGACTTGGATAAGCTTGGGATCTCAGTGAGAGATCCATACTGCTAGTGCTGAAGATTTGTGACCCTGAGGGAAACCCACGCTGGAGCAAGACGGCTCAGGTGGGATATTGGGATCCGAGTAAGGGATCCAGACTAGACCCATGCCGAGAAGTCAATCAAGGACTGTTCTCCCATGGGGAGGGACCTCCATAGGGAAACAGGGGTGAACTCTTAAACCATTATCCCCTGTAACCCTGTGGAAGAAGATCCATAGTAAGCAAGTGTCCCCTTGCAAACCTATGGAAGAAGACCCTTCAGGACCTGAGTAACCCCCAGCCTTCGGTTTTAACCCAGGAGGGGGGTAGGCCCAACCCTGAAGGTTGACACAGAGAAGGAGAAAGAGTTCCAGCTGCAACGAGAGTGCTGCAAAGTTACTGGAGAGAGAGAGAGCTGGAATTCCGAGAATGGAAAAGGACTGCTTCTCCTCCTTGGACTGATATAAAGGGGGGTGGGGGAGAAGTATCTTCTGTAAATACATAATACCTTTTACTTAAGTAGAATTTTTGTAGATATAATTCTTTAGTTTTAGCTTGTTAATAATAAATACTCATACTTTTTTTTCAATTCAGTCTCTTTTCGTCTGCATAAACCTTCTCTCAACTGATAGTAATTGTATGGGGAGTATAAAAGTAAATTGAGCCAGGGTAAAACCACGACAGGTCATTAAAAGCTTGGAAAATGCTAAAGATCTCCAATCAAATTAGCATTATCGCTACTAAAATTTTTATTGAGTTAAAAAAACTCAGTGAGTTTGGACTTGATCCGTGGCCTGCACTAGGTTGTCTTAGGCTATAGATATCCAGTGGGTTCAGTTCATCTTCCAAAAGGAAAATGTGGACCAGGGATTTTCTGCATTTCACAAAAGGTGATTGAATATGCTTCAAGATTAGACCCAAGAAGAACATACCATTGAATTTGCCCTTTAACAGAAGTGGCACTCATTGAAATGTTTACATTTCTATGTGAGAATAAATCTCGGGGAAAGAAAGTACATTAAAGACTAATTAACAGCACTGTTCTTATCAGGACATCCCACAGCAAAACTCACCAGGTGGTCTGTGGCAGAACTCTGGGACGTATAATTCTTTTTGTTCTTACATGCTTCACAAAGGAACTGCTATTGGCCACTGTCAGAGACACAGCACTGGAACGGATTTGTTCTGATCCAGTAGAGCCTTTATTTTATTTTATTCATTTGTCCTACCAGCTCTTAGTACAGGAATATCATATTCTGTCTTTATTAATCAATTATATTTGTGCTTTTGCAAAACCAAGAAACTTAACCTATATAGTGAAAAGACTAGCAGAATTTCAATGTTTAATTATGACAGTATTGTACAGTGCAAGTGGTGTCCACTCCATAGCGTAAAGCAGATTTCTAGTTTATTTATATATGAAGCAGACAGCCACAAATTCTAATAAGGGGAAAAGATAAACACTCCTGAAAAGTAGGGTGACAGAGTATTAATTCCTGTGATGGTCTCAAAATCAAGAGGGAAAGCAGTACGTGAGCTTACTTGACTTTTTGCTTTGCTTCAGTGAGAAGGTTGAAGCTCCAAGCAAACTGCATCTTCAGTTTGCTTGGAGCCTGTAGGCAGAACCAGAACTCTCAGCCACTGGAAGAAGGTGGAGCTCCCTGCTGTGAGAACACCTACAGAAAGGCCAACCTACAACCACTTTCCTAAAATACAAATGGGGATAAACAGAGTGTGAGGAAAAGCACACAATTCCTCTTACTCCAACGTTCCATTCTGTCAGGAGTCAAATTCATGGATGTCAGTTTTCATTAGTCTGGATGACTGTCCTGCATTAAGGGAGGGTCAGAAATAGATGTCTTGTTGGCATCCTTGATAGGGTTTCCTATTCTTCCTTACAGTGGGATAGATTCTAATAAACTTTTCAAACTGTAATCAAAATAGAAATCCAAAATAAGATAGCATTTTATAATTATTTATCACAGAAAATAAAGTGTGAAGGAAATGTCTCTAGAAGTAACAAAAATGAGTATATTCTGAGTATATACAGGATGTATACATTAAATGCAGAATCTGGTAAACATGAAATATACTTCAGTTCCCAGATTTTAGCATAGAAAACAGAACTTTTTTACACTAAAACTGCCAGTGTCTCTGAGGGTTTTAGTTGGTTGCCTATTTGAAAACAGAAAAATTCTTGAATACATCAAGGGCTGAAAGGTCAGACAGGTCTGAAGTATTTCAATCTGGAAAAGGTTGTCTTTTTTTTTAATATCTTCTAGTATCAAATTAAAAAATAATTTAAGTGGAGAAAGCAACTCTTGAGAAACAAATTCAACCATGTGGACACTGAATAACTTCTGCCATTTTTTTCTGTGACAGCCCAGAGCTGAGCATTTGCCGGCCACTTGGTGTTAGTGAACATGCTTGTGTGTTTCCCACAGTATCACATAATCACAGAATCATTAAGGTTGGACAGAACCTCTAAAATCACCAAGATCAACCCTCAACTTAGTAGAGGTAGCAAAGAGACCCAGCTGAGAATGATATGTGAGTTGTGATTATTGCACTGGATTACACAGATGTACTTAAAAAATAGAATCTCTGCAGGTGTTTAATTTAAGAACCTTGAACTAAGAATTCATGTTTCAAAAATTAAAGTAGGGAGATTTAAATCAAAAGTGAGTTTATAATTTCTCTCCTAATTCCTGCTTCTTTATGAGGGTTAGGCTACCCTTCTGCCTTTTGTGTCATAGAAGTCTGTGTTTGTCTAATTGTATTTGTCAAGTAGCCTTTTTAATAGAAAACTTGAAAGTTACAACCATAAATGTATTTTGTGACATTACTTATCATTATTTCTTTATTTTGTGCTTTTAATACATTTTAATAAATAGTTTAAATGATACATTTTAGAGAGGGTGACTGGATTCAGTCATTCCACAAGCTATATAAAGGACATAAGGTATAATTGCAAATGAGATACACTTGAGAGTGTAGTCTTAGAAGCAAACATTGCAAACATTATCTTGGTATTTAAGTGTTGAAACAGATACTATTTTAATAGTCTTATTCTTTGAGAATGATGATTATAGCCTTTTCTGTGTATTAATATATGAAATTGGAAGGTTTGCAAAGTAAAGTGGGTCAGATCATAGAACCATTTGGGTTGGAACATCTTCAACTAGATCAGGTTGTTCAGAGCCCTGTCCAACATGAACTTGAATGTTTCCAGGCATGGGGCATCTACCAGCTCTCTGGACAACCTGTTCTAGTGTTTCATCACCCTCGTTGTAAAAAATTTCTTCCTTATATCAAGTCTGACTTGACCCTCTTAATTTAAAACCATTACCCCTACCACAACAGGCCCTGCTAAACGATCTATCCTCATCTTTTCTGCAAACCCCCTTTAGGTACTGGAGAGTTGCTCTAAAGTCTCCCCAGAGCCTTCGCTTCTCTAGGCTGAACATCCCAAACTCTCTCAGTCTCTTCAGAGTAGAGGTGCTCCAACCTTGATCACTTTTGTGATCCTCCTCTGTACCCACTCCAATAGGTCTAATTTTACTACCTCTTATCAATTTGTCTTTCCCCCTCCGCATTATTTGGAATATTAGCCACATAGATTTGTTTTCTACTTCCTCACACTTGTTCTCACACTAGTCTACAACTGTTCTCACACTGTTTGGGAACCTTTTATCTTTTGTTCCCACACTACAGTTTGGCAAATCATAACTAAAGTTCATAGGTTGCATAATGTGCAACGTTTAAAAGACATGAGATGTCCTGAAATCTTGCTGTAGTGCAGCATTTATCAATATTTTCAAGCTGCAAATTTCATTTCAGAGGAAAAATATAAAGTTTCCAGAAAAGTCAGAGAAAAAGGGAATATTCCCACTGGCTGCCCTCTGGTTTTTCCTGTCTTCTGTATCTCCTCAGTGTCCATCCCTTTCCTTATAGATATCTGTACCAATGCTGTGGCAAATTATTTCTGTATATGGTTATTTTTTCACATTAGATTTATAATATTGTTCTAGTAACCTACTGCTAGTTCTTTGCAGACACTTTCCAAGGTTAACTGAAGAGCTGCTTAAGGAAGGTAATTGCTGGCATCACTTTAAGGTAGGGGCAACCAATACAAACTTGCAAAGTGAAATACATTTGATACATTTGCCTAACCAAGAGAGAACTAAAAAAATTAGTGTGGGAGATCACACCAAGACTGATACAAAAAAAAGAAAGTTACAAATGGTTTTAAAAAATACTGGTCCATACTGTCAGCCTATGGCCTATACTCCTTGATTAGCCAAACTGCTAATATGTTGGCTCTCACACAGCCTAACAGGAATGAATTTAGGCCCAACAAGACACCAGTTTAAATTCAAACTCTTCTAGTTGAGAAATTTGAGTCACAGGGTATAAAGAACTGAGACAAACCTAATGAGCTAAACTATGGCATAAATACCTGCTTTAGAGTAATAAGGGCAAAACTCATCCAGTGTGATTAAACCGGTCCATGAAAAAACATCCTTGCAGTAGCATGGCTGCTACTGCAGCTATTTGTTAGCCCATACCATCTGCTCCTTTATATCCTTCTTTATAGCTCTGACTTTCAGAGAGATGTGATTACCTCACATCTTTATTATATAAAAAGAACTGTTTGCCAGTTCAGTGTTCAGAGGAAAAAAAAAGTTTTTGTCAGTTACTCATCAATTTGCTCATCTGTTTGTCCTATGCAACACGATGATTTCAAGTCTGCTGACACTGTTACCCAAGGGAGTATGATTCATGCAATAATTTTCCTTCCTTCCTGCCTATTTCTTTTAAATTTACTGGAACTTTGATATATCCCATATATATTTTTCACCTAAAACTATTCTACCCCTACTAGAACTAAAGTCATTCATTTCACTTTTAAAAACTTATTTTTTTAACTTTAGATAGGAGTCTTATGAGTATTAGAAAAATAATTTCAATTAAGATGGCATACAATTTTGGTTTCATACTCTTAACATCCCATTCTTGCCCATTTTTGTTTTCTCTTCTCTTGGAAAATGAACTCTTTCAAGAATAGAAACTAATATTCATAAAAATACCTTTTTGTTTATAGATTCCACATTATCAAGACTATGAAAGAATCTTAGCAATGTGGGTAGTTTCCTCCTTTTCTGCAGCA